GGAAATCCCCTCAGCTGTGAAGTGGTGTCAAATTGGACGTATTAACGAGAAAAAAATGGAAGCAGTGGAGATATTATGAATGAAAGCATGTTGAAAACTACAAAGAAAAACAATCCTGGTGCTCTTCATTATCAAATTATCTGATGCAACTTTTGCAGAAAACATTAAAACAAAGATATTCAATAATTCGGAATGTGCAGCACCAGTTAAAACATAATATTCTTTATTATTCAGACATTGATAAATATCAAATAATGCAAATATAAATATTTAAAGGTAACGACTTTTATTATTTTTAAATAATTATTCAGTTAATGTAAAATAAAATATAGGCAGTTAAATGCAACTGCAAATTAAATGCAAATTTTTCTTAAAATAAAAAAAATATATTTAAATTGAATATAAACACAAAAACATATACATATATTTTTTATGTATAATATTTAATTTTTGTGATCAACTTTTTATTCGATTTTAAAATCTACACATCATTTTTGTTATATGCAAAGCAGTGTACACACATTTATGCACATAATAAAAAAAACTATAAAATTTGTATAAAATAATTCAATAAGCACAAAAGCGTAGTGTGCAATATATTTTATATATAGTTTTATTATATTTTATATTATTATATTTACATACTGATCATTTAAATCGAAATATAATGCAGTATTAAAGTAGTTTAGATATTTAGATGCAGAAGTAAAGCGTCTTGTTTTGCACAAACATCTGTTAAATGTTTCATACAGATTCATTCTTAAAAGCCGGCTGAATTGATGTGTCATTGTTAAAGTTGAAACCTGATCAGCATAAACTAGTTTTAATTTATTGCAGGCACAATGAAACAAAAGCAGCTGGTGTTGAGGAGACTGGACGTGTCTTACCTGAGAGGAAGAGGAGCTGGTTCTCCTGTCTGTGTATCTCCACACACACCTGAGTGATGTTACAGGTGAGCTCTCAGTGCTTTACCTGCCGCCGGCCCGTGTCCCGCCCCTCGTGTGTGTGTGTGTGTGTGTTTACACTGACATGAGCATTTCAAAGGCAGGATGAGCCTCAGGAAGTCGGCAGAGATGGAGTTTTGTTTTGTGTTGGAGTCTGAAATTACAGCGGGGTGCAGAAAGCTGCAAAAGGCTGTTTACTGATCTCAGATCTGTCATCCAGACACTGAAACACACACACGCTCATCCTGGATGCTGACTGGAGCTTCACAGTGATGGTCAGATTTACAGATGATGATGATGATGATGATGATGAGGGTTTCATATCCTCCGTGTCTTTAGACGTGAAGCGCCGCTGTGCTTCCTCTTCCTCTGCGTGCTGAAGATATGCAGTCAGATTAGCAGCTGTTCAAAACATTAATTTGACATAATAACCAAGTTTAATCACATGCTTTCATATCTATCTATCTATCTATCTATCTATCTATCTATCTATCGTTCTGTCCGTCCGTCCGTCCGTCCGATTATCTACCTCTCTATCTATCTATCTATCTATCTATCGTTCTGTCCGTCCGTCCGTCCGTCCGATTATCTACCTCTCTATCTATCTATCTATCTATCTATCGTTCTGTCCGTCCGTCCGTCCGTCCGATTATCTACCTCTCTATCTATCTATCTATCTATCTATCGTTCTGTCCGTCCGTCCGTCCGTCCGATTATCTACCTCTCTATCTATCTATCTATCTATCTATCGTTCTGTCCGTCCGTCCGTCCGTCCGATTATCTACCTCTCTATCTATCTATCTATCTATCTATCGTTCTGTCCGTCCGTCCGTCCGTCCGATTATCTACCTCTCTATCTATCTATCTATCTATCTATCGTTCTGTCCGTCCGTCCGTCCGTCCGATTATCTACCTCTCTATCTATCTATCTATCTATCTATCGTTCTGTCCGTCCGTCCGTCCGTCCGATTATCTACCTCTCTATCTATCTATCTATCTATCTATCGTTCTGTCCGTCCGTCCGTCCGTCCGATTATCTACCTCTCTATCTATCTATCTATCTATCTATCGTTCTGTCCGTCCGTCCGTCCGTCCGATTATCTACCTCTCTATCTATCTATCTATCTATCTATCGTTCTGTCCGTCCGTCCGTCCGTCCGATTATCTACCTCTCTATCTATCTATCTATCTATCTATCGTTCTGTCCGTCCGTCCGTCCGTCCGATTATCTACCTCTCTATCTATCTATCTATCTATCTATCGTTCTGTCCGTCCGTCCGTCCGTCCGATTATCTACCTCTCTATCTATCTATCTATCTATCTATCGTTCTGTCCGTCCGTCCGTCCGTCCGATTATCTACCTCTCTATCTATCTATCTATCTATCTATCGTTCTGTCCGTCCGTCCGTCCGTCCGATTATCTACCTCTCTATCTATCTATCTATCTATCTATCGTTCTGTCCGTCCGTCCGTCCGTCCGATTATCTACCTCTCTATCTATCTATCTATCTATCTATCGTTCTGTCCGTCCGTCCGTCCGTCCGATTATCTACCTCTCTATCTATCTATCTATCTATCTATCGTTCTGTCCGTCCGTCCGTCCGTCCGATTATCTACCTCTCTATCTATCTATCTATCTATCTATCGTTCTGTCCGTCCGTCCGTCCGTCCGATTATCTACCTCTCTATCTATCTATCTATCTATCTATCGTTCTGTCCGTCCGTCCGTCCGTCCGATTATCTACCTCTCTATCTATCTATCTATCTATCTATCGTTCTGTCCGTCCGTCCGTCCGTCCGATTATCTACCTCTCTATCTATCTATCTATCTATCTATCGTTCTGTCCGTCCGTCCGTCCGTCCGATTATCTACCTCTCTATCTATCTATCTATCTATCTATCGTTCTGTCCGTCCGTCCGTCCGTCCGATTATCTACCTCTCTATCTATCTATCTATCTATCTATCGTTCTGTCCGTCCGTCCGTCCGTCCGATTATCTACCTCTCTATCTATCTATCTATCTATCTATCGTTCTGTCCGTCCGTCCGTCCGTCCGATTATCTACCTCTCTATCTATCTATCTATCTATCTATCGTTCTGTCCGTCCGTCCGTCCGTCCGATTATCTACCTCTCTATCTATCTATCTATCTATCTATCGTTCTGTCCGTCCGTCCGTCCGTCCGATTATCTACCTCTCTATCTATCTATCTATCTATCTATCGTTCTGTCCGTCCGTCCGTCCGTCCGATTATCTACCTCTCTATCTATCTATCTATCTATCTATCGTTCTGTCCGTCCGTCCGTCCGTCCGATTATCTACCTCTCTATCTATCTATCTATCTATCTATCGTTCTGTCCGTCCGTCCGTCCGTCCGATTATCTACCTCTCTATCTATCTATCTATCTATCTATCGTTCTGTCCGTCCGTCCGTCCGTCCGATTATCTACCTCTCTATCTATCTATCTATCTATCTATCGTTCTGTCCGTCCGTCCGTCCGTCCGATTATCTACCTCTCTATCTATCTATCTATCTATCTATCGTTCTGTCCGTCCGTCCGTCCGTCCGATTATCTACCTCTCTATCTATCTATCTATCTATCTATCGTTCTGTCCGTCCGTCCGTCCGTCCGATTATCTACCTCTCTATCTATCTATCTATCTATCTATCGTTCTGTCCGTCCGTCCGTCCGTCCGATTATCTACCTCTCTATCTATCTATCTATCTATCTATCGTTCTGTCCGTCCGTCCGTCCGTCCGATTATCTACCTCTCTATCTATCTATCTATCTATCTATCGTTCTGTCCGTCCGTCCGTCCGTCCGATTATCTACCTCTCTATCTATCTATCTATCTATCTATCGTTCTGTCCGTCCGTCCGTCCGTCCGATTATCTACCTCTCTATCTATCTATCTATCTATCTATCGTTCTGTCCGTCCGTCCGTCCGTCCGATTATCTACCTCTCTATCTATCTATCTATCTATCTATCGTTCTGTCCGTCCGTCCGTCCGTCCGATTATCTACCTCTCTATCTATCTATCTATCTATCTATCGTTCTGTCCGTCCGTCCGTCCGTCCGATTATCTACCTCTCTATCTATCTATCTATCTATCTATCGTTCTGTCCGTCCGTCCGTCCGTCCGATTATCTACCTCTCTATCTATCTATCTATCTATCTATCGTTCTGTCCGTCCGTCCGTCCGTCCGATTATCTACCTCTCTATCTATCTATCTATCTATCTATCGTTCTGTCCGTCCGTCCGTCCGTCCGATTATCTACCTCTCTATCTATCTATCTATCTATCTATCGTTCTGTCCGTCCGTCCGTCCGTCCGATTATCTACCTCTCTATCTATCTATCTATCTATCTATCGTTCTGTCCGTCCGTCCGTCCGTCCGATTATCTACCTCTCTATCTATCTATCTATCTATCTATCGTTCTGTCCGTCCGTCCGTCCGTCCGATTATCTACCTCTCTATCTATCTATCTATCTATCTATCGTTCTGTCCGTCCGTCCGTCCGTCCGATTATCTACCTCTCTATCTATCTATCTATCTATCTATCGTTCTGTCCGTCCGTCCGTCCGTCCGATTATCTACCTCTCTATCTATCTATCTATCTATCTATCGTTCTGTCCGTCCGTCCGTCCGTCCGATTATCTACCTCTCTATCTATCTATCTATCTATCTATCGTTCTGTCCGTCCGTCCGTCCGTCCGATTATCTACCTCTCTATCTATCTATCTATCTATCTATCGTTCTGTCCGTCCGTCCGTCCGTCCGATTATCTACCTCTCTATCTATCTATCTGTCTGTCTGTCTGTCTGTCTGTCTGTCTCTTTCACTATCTACCTCTCTGTCTGTCTGTCTGTCTGTCTGTCTGTCAGCTGAGTTATGTTTAAAGCTGAAGGAAATCCACTTTCAAAAGTTCATGATGTTTCCAAAGTCAATAAATAATTGTATTAACTAATACAAGCATGCTGTAGCAACAGTGCTAGTATGGTAATGTGTCACTGTGAACTGATCTCAGGACTGCAGACAGGAGGCGCCAGAGTTCAGCAAACACCTGCAGGATGTGGCCAGACTCAGAGAGAATGAAGGAGAGGAGAAATAAGAGAGTCAAATCATCAGGTGTGAGACATGGCGCTGAGAGCCGCTCTGCTGAAGAGTATCTGGTACGCCTTCACGTCCCTGGACACCGAAGACAGCGGCAAAGTGTCCAAATCACAGCTCAAGGTGAGACAGGTGTGAGACAGAGACAGGTGTTTGTGTAGATATGCATGTAAGTCTCAAAAGCTCACTTTAGGGACGTCCACAAGTGATTTATAAGGTACATTTTTACCTTATGCAGCATTTACCTTAATTTATACCTTAATTATAACAATATCTGTCTTGTTTATGCATATTATGTGTAAATGTTGCTTACTGTGTACATTATGTGTTAAGTTATAGTGTTTGTAAGCACACAGCCAATGTTTTCACCCATCATTACATCAGTGTACTTTATATGACTGTAAAGTGGTCTGTTCTAGTTTGATTTAAGGTAGTTTCTCTTTATGGTTTGTGTTCATAAATGTCTTTATATAACGCAGCAGGAGTGTACTGTATGTTCTCTTTTTATGAAACTGTTAATCTGACTCACACTCTGTGGCTTTAGACGGATCTGCATCAAACACAAGCAGCAGTCAGACCGTGTGTGTGTGTGTGTGTGTGTGTGCAGGTTTTGTCTCATAACCTTCACAGTGTTTTGAGGATTCCTCACGACCCTGCGGCCCTCGAGAGACACTTCAGCGATGACGATGACGGTCCCGTATCCAGTCAGGGGTACATGCCCTACCTGAACCAGTTTATACTGGACAAGGTACCACAACACAAGCACACTCTCAAAGGATGCTCATTCAATGCTCACGAGACTCTCGCTTATGTTTCATTGAAGTATCAAATGTTTCTCCTGAAATTAGGTGAAAATAACCCAAAACCTAGTAAGAGTTTGGAGCTATGAAAATAATGTGGAGAGTAGTTGATGAGAAATATCTAGATCTCTGACTTTTCAGTGCAGACTTCGGGATCTTGACAAATCTGAGCGCTGTTTGAGACATTGATGAGACACAAGAGATGGCTGGAGGGTTTTTCTCAGGAGAAACTTGAAAATCAGTGCTGTCTCTGAGGGTCTCTTTAATATCTCAATCATTTCTCCAAGTTGCAATCCCAGATGAAAATATCTTTGCTCAGAGGTAGCTCTTTCATAGCTCACTGAGTTTTCAGGGTCATATTTGTCTCAGATGTTTCTCCAAAAACAAAAAGGAAAAATACTAAGGGAGTTGGGGAGCAGCTCGGATAATGTGATGAGAAATGCTTGAGTTTATACTGAGATCTCCGACTTTTTCATTGCAGACTTTGAGATCTTGACAAATCTGAGCACCGTTAGAGACATGGCTGAGACAGAAGAGATTATACTGGGGTCTTTTCATAGAAGAAACTTCATCAAAAGCCTCCATATAATATCAACACTGCTATTTGAGAATTGATTGAGATATTAAAGAGATTTCATTTGGGACGGGATTTGCGGAAAATGTCTTGCTCAAATTTGCAATCCTAGATGAAAATGTTATTGCTCTTTCGTTGCTCACTGAGTTCTCAGGATCAATTTTGTCTCAGATGTTTCTCCTAAAAAATACGAATGAATGTGGAGAGCAGCTCAGAGCATTTGGTGAATAATGTTTGCGTTCATATTGAGATCTCTGAGGTTTCATTGCAGACAAATCTGAGCACAGTTTGAGACAGTGTTGAGACACAAGAATACTGGGGTCTTTTTTCATAAGTAACTTCAGCAAAGTTTCACGGCTGTCTTGGAGAAATAATTGAGACATTAAAGAGATTTTATTTGGGAAAGTGTCTTGAGCAAAGTTATTGCTCAGAGGTTGCTCTTTCATGGCTCATAGGCTTCATTGAGTGCTTAGGATCAATTTTGATTCAGTGTGAACACAATTCAAATGAATGTCAAATTTGAGCACAGTTTGAGACATCGTTGAGATCTGATCTGAAACTCCAGAGGAGACACGTGTCAGATCACTGGGGTCTTTTTCTCAGGAGAAACCAAAGTCTCCATTGAATCTCATTGCCTTCGTGGAGAATAAATTAAGATTTTGTTGTTTGTTGTGTCATCAGGTAACTGAGGGGACGTTTGTTAAAGAGGAAGTTGACGAGCTGTGCTGGACTCTCTGTTCCAAGAAAAACTACCGTCCCGACGCGCACCGGGTTCTGTCCAATCAGGATGCTATGCGGCTCTGGTGTCTCTTCAACTTCCTGGCAGACGACAGATATCCTCTCACACTCGTGCCGGAGGAGGTGAGCACACACACACACACACACACACACACACACACACACTCACACACACTCACTCACACTCACTCACTCACTCACTCACTCACTCTCACACACACACACACACACACACACACACACACTCACTAACTCACACACACACACACACACACACACACACACACACTCACTCACACACACACACACACACACACACACATCATATATATATATTCAATGTTACAGTTTAAATGTAATTATATATTGATGCATATTTTAATATTTTTAATATATACGTAAATCAATTTTTCCATATATATTTATGTAAATGAGCTCATATAAATGCAAAAAAAATTTAAAATGTATTTGAACCTTGTTAACCATTTGTATAAGTATTTTATAAACATTTTACAATCATTTAGCATTAAATGTTATTTTAACGTTTTTAAACGTTTTTCAATGTTAACATTTAAATGTAATTATACACGTATGTATATTTAAATATTTAAAATGTGTACACCCATTTTTCATATATATTTATGTAAATGAGCTCAAATAGATACAAAATATATATAAAAATAGGTATTTAGTTAATCTTGTTAAGTTTGTGTATAAATATTTAATTTACAACCATTAAACGTTGTTTCAATGTTTTTTAAACGTTTTTCAATGTTAAACATGTAAATATAACTATATACGTATTTATATGATTTAAATGAGCTCATATAGATCGAAAATGTACAAAAAAATAAGTATTAAGTTAATCTTATTAACCTTTTGTATACATATTTTGTTTGCCTTTTAGCATTAAACGTTGTTTCAATGTGTTCTAAACGTTTTTCAATGTTAAAGGCGCGTTTTGAACATGATTTAACTCAGATATGTAACTCTATGATAAGTAAGTAAGCGTACGATGTGTTTTTCTCCCATGAGGAAGCAGATGATTAGCTGCAACGGTGATGTGTGCTGTGTTCAGGCGGAGTATCTGCTGAGGAAGATCAGCAGCGTGATGCCGGTGGAGCTGACCTGCGTGGAGCTGGAGGACGGTCTGAGCGTCTGGAGCTTCCTGAACGAGGTGAACGCGGCGGCTGCAAGTCGAGGAGTGGACGGCGAGAGCATCAGTGTAGCCGTGGAGAAGGTGTACAGAGAGATGGTGGGGAACATGCTGAAGGAGGTGCGCTCATCTCACTCACACACACACACACACACACACTCACTCACTCACTCACTCTCACACACACACACACACA